CAGGAAGAGAGGATGCCGTGCTGGGGTTTTCTTTAGGCTCAGTAAGTTTCCACACAAGCCTTCAATTCCAAGTATATTTATTACCAATGGAAGATCTCTGACTAACAAAATGTATGAATTAAGGCTACAGATTGCAAAGACTAAATTCATCAAGAACTGCTGTGTTTTGCTAATCACAGAAACTTGGCTTCACTCACTCATTCCAGATGCAGCTGTTGAACTAGAAGGCTACATAGCTCACAGGCAGGACAGGAGTAGAGATTCTGGCAAGATCAAAGGGGGAGGTTTAAGCCTTTATGTGAACAAAAGCTGGTGTATCAATACAAAGACTGTAGACAGCCACTGCTCCATGGATCTGGAGTATATGACTCTTAAATGTAGACCCATATATCTTCCACGGGAATTCAGTGTGGTTTTGATTACTGCAGTCTATGTCCCACCTGATGCCAATACTACCATAGTTTTGGGATTCTTATATAACATTGTTAGTAATCAGTAGAATAAGTATCCTGATGCTGTGCATATCATAGCAGGGGACTTTAATCAAGCTGATTTAAAAGAAGTGCTCCCTAAATTCTATCAGCATGTTAAGTGTGCTACTAGAGGAGCATACAAATTGGACAAAGTATATACTAACATCAAACATGGCTATAAGGTTATACAATTACCACATTTGGGACAATCAGATCATATGTCACTGCTTTTAGCGTACATCCCTCTTAGGATGTCTCTGCCTATAATAAAGACAGTGAAATCTTGGCCAGAAGATGCTTCCCAACAACTTCAGGATTGTTTTGAGAACACAAATTTATAACTTTATAACTTCTTTTCCTTTCTTTCTTCCCTCTCATCTTCTCCCTCCCCCCTTTACCCCCTTGTCTCTCTAGTTCTAATTCTCTCTTCTGCATTTCCCTCTTCTGTTGCTTTCTGATTTTATACTTATTTTTCACTCTATTTTGGGGGGAGTTGTTTTTCCCAATCTTAAAGTTTCCATTCTCTTTCCCCCCTTTTCTTTCCCCCCCATCTAAGATTACTTGTTCATTAAAGATGGCTTCTTCTTTGTCACAATCTTCTTGTTCTGCAGGCATTTCTTGTTGTTTCTCATAATTCCAAATCTCCATTTCTAAAAACTGAAATACAAAGCCAAAAGAACCTCTCCCTTCTTGTGCATCTTCTTTGTACTTTTTAAGTTCCATTTTCAGTTCTTCTAAAAGTGGAGCCATTTTAAAAAGTTTTAAACAACCACCCGATTGATTTTAGTCATTCAAAACAATAACCAAGAATCCAGAAATCATCAAGTAATCCAGATAGTCCTGAGTTATATCTTCTTATTTCTTTTTCGACTTTCTCTTCCTGGAGTTTTTGTTGCAATATTTCAGTTAGAATGTATCTTTTGGAAGTCTTGTTGAGATTTTGCTGTAAGTTCTTTTTTAATTCCAGGCAGTCTCCTCACTTCCAGATCCTACCCTTTTATTTTTTTTTCCTCTCCTTTCCTGTTTTCAAAAGCTTTTAATTATCCAGAAATCTTTGACTTTTTATTTTCAGCATTAAATGCCTATTGATGTCAAAGTGGATTTTTTTCCAATTTCTTGCTTAAGTCTCTTAGCTGTCAGTATAGGAAAAGGAGAAAACCAAATCTTTCCCCTTTTCTCTCTCCTTCGCAGCTTAAAAATCTTAGGGAACAATGTTATTGTTTTTTAACAGTTTCAATTCCAGGATACCTTATTTGTTGCTTTTGCTGTTTGACCTGGTCAACCAAAACTTTCTCTTCTTATCTTCCTCCTGCACATTCTTTTCCGGTCGAGTTCTTCTTTGTGGCGGCCATTTCTGACCACCGCTGCAACCGCCTTTGGGAAAGGGAATAATGGCCAGCTGGGGAGGAGAGATGCGGCTCTCCTCAACCCTGCTGGCAGTCTCCCCCCTCTTCACCACCTCTATGGGGTGGCTTAGCCCCGAAACCACCCAGCTCGGGGCGCTCCAGAGGCGACCACAGATCGAAGCCTCGCAGAGATGAGGTTTCGGTCTGTCACTGAAGAAGCTCAAACTGTGGTATGGGATTTTATTGACTTAAAATGCCATCCAGATGGCAGCAGGTCAAAAAGATAATTGCCAGGGTGTGAGGGGTCTTCTATGATGGTCTTGATTCTGCTTTGGCAGTGGGACCTGGCTAAGTCTTCCAGGGAGGGCAGAGGACAACCAATGATCTTTTGAGCTGTGTTTATCACCCTCTGTACAGTTTTCCTGTCCTCAGCTGTGGAGCCCGCATACCACACACCCGGACAATATGTCAGAGTGCTCTCCACAGAGGCTTTATAGAAAGCCAGCAACAGCTTCTTATCCAGGTTGTTCTTCCTGAGAACCCACAGGAAGTGCAGCCGTGCTGAGCCTTCTTCACTATGGCCTTGGTATTAGGGGACCAGGAGATATCGACTGAAATATGGATGCCAAGGAATCTGACCGTAGGGACAGTTTCCACTCATTCTCCATTGATGATGAGTGGGGCGTGGTCCTGTCCATGTTTCCTGAAGTCCATAATCAGTTCTTTGGTTTTATGGACATTCAGTGACAGATTGTTTTGTGAACACCAGATAGACAGATTCTCTACTTCTGCCCTATATGCTGTCTCATCCTCTCCGGAGATGAGGCCAATCATGGTCGTTTCATCCACAAACTTTATGATGGTATTTGTTGCGTGGCTTGGTGAGCAGTCAAAGGTGTACAAGGCATATAGCAGGGGGCTCAAGACACAACCCTGGGGGGAACCAGTACTGAGTGTAATAGTGGAAGAAAGGTGGGGGCCAAGTCTAACAGACTGGGTCTGTTTGTCAAAAAGTTCTTAATCCAGGACCACATGGGAGTGGGGACCTGCAGATTATACAGTTTGGTTACAAGTGTATCTGGGATGACAGTGTTAAACGCAGAGCTGTAGTCCACAAAGAGCATCCTCACATAGCTCTGTTTGTTCTCCAGATGACTCAGCGTTCTATAAAGTGCATCCTCTGTAGATCGGAAAGGTATTCGGAAGGCCAAGACTGAGTATAAGAGGAAGATTGAGGATAATTTTTATAGCAATATCATGAAGCAGGTGTGGTGAGGGATTCAACAAATTACAAACCATCAACTGACCAATGCCATCCCTGCTGAGGGGGATGCTTCATTGGCAGAGGAACTGAATCATTTCTTTGCTCGCTTTGAAGTGGAGACATCAGAGACAGATAAAATACAAGCACCAGCCAATTGTAGCCCCCACCTCATTGTGGAAGAACAGAAGGTGTGGAGCATTCTGAGGGCTGTGGACCCTAGAAAGGCTGCCAGTCCTGACAGTATCTCTGGCCGAATGCTTAAAGACTGTACTGATCAATTGGCTGCAGTCTTTACCAGGATCTTAAATCGGTCTTTATCCCAGGCCTATTCTATCTTGTTTGAAGGCTTCCACCATCATTCCGCTGCCAAAGAAGTTCCCTATCAATTACCTCACGATAACGGACCAGTGGCACTCAGTCCTATAACCATGAAATGTTTTGCGAAATTGGTCTGCCGGCACATCATTTCTGGTCTTCCGCATACTTTTGATAAACACCAGTTTGCATACAGAAAAAATAGATCTGCAGAGGACGCTATAGCCATCACTCTTCACACTGCTCTGACTCACCTAGAATAGCGGGGGGGGGGCGCTATGTGAGGATGCTTTTTCGTGGATTTTAGTTCTGTGTTTAATACAATTCTTCTACATAGACTAGTGTCTAAACTTCTGGACCTTGAGCTTTCTAATTCAATTTGCCTTTGGATTATGGATTTCCTGTCTGGCCGCTCACAGAAGGTCAGATTAGGTAATCATACCTCTTTAGCCCTTATTCTTAACACTGGTACACCACAGGGTTGCGTGTTGAGTCCCTTATTCTATACTCTTTATGTGTATGACTGCATTCCCACTCACGCTAGTAATACTATTGCTAAATTTGGCACTTATCTCCGGGGGGGATGAGTCTGCCTACTGAGATGAGGTGGGCCGGTTGCTTTTGTGGTGTGAGGACAATAACTTGGTCCTCAACACCAATAAGACCAAGGAGCTTATAGTGGATTATAGAAGGAACAGATCAGACATCCAGGCCTTGCTTATCAATGGAGACCGAGTGGAGCAAGTGGCCAGTTTTAAGTTTCTGGGTGTTACCCTAAAAGAGGACCTGACCTGGGTGCCTACATTGCAGACCTGGTCAAAAAGGCTCACCAGAGATTATACTACCTGAGACTTCTCAGAAAACAACAACAGAATGAAAAACTGCTGGTGACCTTCTACCACTGCACCACGGAGAGCATTTTAACATACTGCACCTCTGTCTGGTTTGGCAATTGCACAGTGGCCGATAGGAAAGCACTCCAAAGGGTTAACGTCATTGCCCAGAAGATCATTGGTTGCCCTCTCCCCTCTTTGGAAGAGCTTTATAGCTCCCACTGCCTTAAGAAAGCTCAAAACATTCTCAAAGATCCATCTCATCCTGAGAACCTTTTTTTGAACTATTACCATCTGGCAGATGGTACAGAATAATAAAAACAAGGACAAATAGACTGAAAAACAGCTTTTATCCCAGGGCAGTAGCTCTTTTGAATTCTGCTGTATAGTGCAGTGTTGGTATAGTGTCGGGGATGTTCAGTTCAATGTGTGAAGGTTGAAGGATGTGTGTTTGTATTTATTTTCATGGTCATGGTCATGATGTGCACTGAAGATGGTGTTTGATTTCATTGTACGAGGTGCAATGACAATAAAAAAAGTAAACTAAAATCACAGATCTTCTCTTTGGTCAGGCTTTTAATTGTGAATTGGTTTTAACATTAATTTTAATGCATGCTTCCAGGTTTATATAATGGAACCTTCACTATTCAACAGAATAAGAAGATTGTGATTTTCAGTACGTGTTGTTAAGTATATACTAGTGCTGATATTTGAAAAAATCTGATCACTTTTTTTACTGGTTTGCTTCTCCATAATGAAAATCCCTTACCTTCCACTTAATGATGAAAAGTATGGTACCACATGTATCCCCAGTGGGCCTCCTTCCCCAGATATTTCTACGATTCTTGTCATACCACTAAGAAAAAGGGAAAAGCATCAATTATCTTCAAAAGAAAGCAAGACAAGTTGAGAGATTATTTTGAGCTTGTAAGAGACACTTATTGCACCTCAATACCTTTTACCAATCCCTGAAATAAATGGTCATTCTTAACAACTTGCAATTCCATAAGACCATCCCTTTAATAGCCATAAAGTTTGTTCTGTATGGTCTATGAGGTAAATTACACAGTCTCTTCAATATACTGGTAATTGTTAAATATGTCTATGAAAGCAAGTTTGGTACAGTACTTAACATATCTACACTAAAAATTGGGAGACCATGAGTTCCACCTTAGGCACAAAACCAGCTGGATGACTTTGAGCCACTTACTTTATCTCAGCCTTAAGAAAAAAAACAGCAATGGCAAACCACTTTTGAAAAATCTTGCCAAGAAAACTTCAGGGCCTAGTCCAGGCAATTACTAGGAATTAAAGCCAGGAAGCAAAACAACAACAAAGCCTACACACAAGAAAACTGGATATCCACATATTGAAATAATTAATATTCAAATTGTCCACATGAATCAAATTTGATTTATTACAAATCCCATAATGATATATGCTGCAAGTATTTATCTGTATGCATGTTTTCTTTTTAGGTCTATTAGATTCTTAGATCTACTAGGAATACAACAGTAGAAAGACGTGAGAGTTTTCTGTTTAACCATTCTTTTTGTTGTTCAGCACAAAGATGGAATTTTTTGTGCTCTTTAATAATAGCAAAAAGAATAATCCTTAGGAAATGGAAAATACCATAACCATAAGGGATATATGTCTGGATTTCGGAGATATTGATTTAGCAATTTTGGAGAAATGTATATATTTAGTTAATCAAAAAATGTCACAACTCTCCCTTTGGGAAATTTTTTTGAACAAGCTTAGTCAACATTAAAAGCTTTTTTAAAAAAAAGGTTTACAAAATCAGATGAGCTTGGAATATAGTTGTTTTTGAAGTTTGCAGATGATACAACAGTGATTGGTCTCATTCAAGACAATGATGAATCCACATAGAGACAGGAGATTGTACAGCTTGCCTCGTGGTATAACCGGAACAATCTGGAACTGAACACACTCAAAACTGTAGAAATGGTGGTAGACTTTAGAAGAAACCCTCCTATGCTACCACCTGTTAAAATACTGGACAACACAGTATCAACAGTAGAGACCTTCAAATTTCTAGGTTCTATCATATCACAAGACCTAAAATGGACACCTAACATCAAAAATATCAAAAAAGCACAACAAAGAATGTTCTTTCTGCACCAACTCAGAAAGTTCAAACCACCCAAGGAGCTGCTGATCCAGTTCTACAGAAGAATTACTGAGTCTGTCATCTGCACTTCTATAACTGTCTGGTTTGGCTCTGCAACCCAACAAGACAGACACAGACTTCAGAGAGTAATTAGGACTGCAGAAAAAACAATTCCTACCAACCTGCCTTCCAGCGAGGACCTGTATACTGCATGAGTCAAAAAGAGGGCTGTGAAAATATTTACAGACCCCTCACATCCTTTTCATCTCCTCCTCCTCTAGAATTGGTCAAAGTTTAGTTATCAATTTTATCAAAAAAAATTAAACCAAATATTTTTATTGTTCCATCTTCAAACAGACATACATAAAATATTGTAAAGTAAAAACAAACATACCATAACATGCTAGAACAAGGAATATTATGTAACTGGTCTCTTTTTGTTTCAGAGAACAAGGTGGGTGAGGTGAGGGAACTTCATCTCAGAAAATTCTGTAATGTGTAGTGTTGGGCTAGCTCACCAGTCATACCTGTCACATTTTCTACTTCAATATTTACTTATTAAACAATAATTTTCCTTCTAGGCTGAATAAATCTTTAATACTTTTGAGCAGACTATAATTGTAATTTATAATTGGTATCTGAGTATGCCACAGCATTCAGATATTCAGTTCAGCATTCTTACAATACACCAAGGCTTATAAAAATTGTCACAAATAAGTGTATGAATCAGCCTCTGCTATGCTTTAAACAAACATTATATAGAATTCTGTCACCTAAATTCATGAAATTGAACTAATTGCAGTATTATAAAATAAATAACAATTCACAAAATAAAGGCTGAAACATGCCATGCTTCAGGAAATCAGTAGCCTTTATGCATATTATGTTCTTTTTTTCTTTCAGAATTTTTTATTTATATTTTTGAAAAAAATATTTAAAAGACAGTGGAATAAATAGACTCTTCTTACTGTTTTTATTAAGTAGCCATTTTAAAAATTGCTGAGAGGTGACAGGTGAATATTTGGCCCAATTCTGTACTGTATAAATGATAATTGGAAAAAGGTCTAATTCAAATGAGAAATCCAGATTTCTTTATTGAACATTTGCTGTAATTTAGGAAAATGTTAATCATTTCACAAATAAGATTGACTTAGGTTAGATTTGTTCCGGACTAGCAGGCTCGTAGCCTGCAAATCTGATTGGCCCGCTGAAAGCCGATCGTGATTGGTTGCCATAGACTGATGCGATTGGCCAGTAAACGGGCTGCCGCAATTGGCCCTGCCAAGAGCGGCAAACTCAAATCGCCTTCATTGGCTGCCTAGCCACAGCCAGCCCTATATAAGGGGCTGCTGCGGCTGGGGTTAGTTGCTCAGATCTGAAGTCACAAATAAAGAGCTTTAGTTACTATCTGAGTCTTGCCTCCGTTCTTGAACCATCCTCCCAGATATAACACTGGCGACGAGGATGGGATGCGGAGGCAACGAAAGCTATTGAAATTGAGCTAGCCGAAGGAGCACGTGGCTGACAGAGCGCAACGACCGCGACATGGCCAGCAGCGCTATACCACCCGCACCATTCGATCCAGCTAGCGAAGATTGGGACTCATACATGGACAGATTTCAAATGTTCCTGGAGTCCAACAACCTCAAAGATGCCACGCCCAGCAAGAAACGAGCCGTTTTTCTAACCCATTGTGGACCAGCCGTTTTTAAGATGGCTAAAGCCTTAGCCAAGCCAGCTGAAGTTAAAACCATGGATTGGGACACCCTTGCTCCCATCCTGCGCAACCATTACGCCCCAGCCGTGCCAACTCTCATTCGCAGGCATGAGTTCTACCAGAGGGACCAACGTGAAGGTGAGAGCATTGGGGATTTTGTGGCAGACCTGAGGAACCTGGGTGGTTTGTGTGGCTTCGCCAACCTCGAAGAAGCCATGAGAGATCGCATCATCCTTGGCCTCAGAGACCCCACCGTCCAGAGCAAGATCATGGCCAAGGGGGACATCTCGCTTGCAGATGCCATAGCAGACGCCACAGCAGCTGAAGCCACTCGTAAATCGGCAGCACGAATGCGTCGAACCAACGGGACCAACCGCCAACCCACCAACGATGCTGGGAAACCTTCAGACAAGTACACATCAACCACCCATCACGAAGACGTCGAGTCATCCTCAGACAGCGTGGAAGAAGAAGTCCACAGGCTCCAGTCAGAACGTGAGCAACGGGACCAGCGGGGTCGCAGGTCCAACTACCAATGCGCCGGATGTGGGGGAAACTACCCCCGATCCGAATGCAGATTCTTAGGTGCCATATGCCGTTTTTGCGAGAAACGGGTACACATCACGAAGGTATGCAGAAACAAGAGAAATTCCAGCCCCAGACGGAGAGGGAGCAGCCCAAAGAGAAACGATGGCAATGCCACCACGCAGAGGGACCACCCTAGCAACCAGTGGAACTGGTACAGCAGACCCCGAAGGTTTAACGACGCCCCCAGATGAGAGGAGGCTCAGCAAACTATCACCATCGGCCACGCTTAATCACTTGACGCTAAAAAGATCCGAGTAGAGGTCACGATTGAAAACAAACCGTGCAACATGGAAGTCGACTCTGGGTCATCTCTATCCATGGTATCCTGGAGAACACTCAAGCAGCTAATCCCCAACATCTGACGCCAAGACCTCAGCAGTCAGAGACTCATACTGAAAGACTATCAAGGCAACCGGATTCCAGTCGCAGGTACCCGCCATGTGCAGGTCTCGTTCAAGGGACATAAGGCAATTCTACCACTCACCGTCGTAGACCGAGACCGGCCAAGTCTTCAGTGGTTCGCGCCATTAGGAATCGGAATGGCTGGCATCCATCATACTGAAGACAATGACTGGGAGGCAGCCCTCGTCCACGACTTCCGAGAATTGTTCAACAAAAGCCTAGGCAAGTACAAGGGGTCCCCTATTTCATTTAATCTTCGCCCCGACATAGCACCCATTCGTCTAAAGCCACGCCGAGTTCCCTTTGCTCTTAAATCCAAAATTGACAAGCAACTGGACAAATTAATTGCGCAAGGCGTGTTAGAACCTATTGACCACGCCCGATGGGAGACACCAATTGTCACCCCCATAAAACCTGACGGGTCCATAAGAATCTGAGGTGACTACAAGGCCACCCTCAATCACGCGCTACAGCAGAGCGCCTACCCAGTGCCAGTTGTTCAACATCTCCTGCATTCACTTGGGGGTGGCAAAATATTCGCAAAATTAGATCTGGCCCAAGCGTATCAAAAGCTACCAGTTGATCCCGAGACTGCAGAAGCCCAAACTATAGTCACACATCGTGGTGCATTCAAATGCAACAGGCTCCAGTTTGGTGTAAGCGTAGCCCCAGGCATCTTTCAAAGCCTGATGGAGAGACTATTACAAGGGATAAAAGGGGTCGTGCCCTATTTTGATGACGTATTAATAGCAGCACCCACAAAAAACCAATTAGAAAAACGTTTCAGAACAGTCCTACAGAGGTTCAAAAACACTGGCCTCAAGGTTAACAAGGAAAAGTGCCAGCTTTGCACAGAAAGAGTGGAGTTTCTTGGCTACCTCCTTGACAAGCAAGGAATCCACCCCACAGAAAAAAAATTGGCAGCTATCAAAAACGCCCCAAGACCCAAAAACAAAACCGACCTCCAAGCCCTCCTGGGACTTATTAACTTTTATAACATCTTCCTACCCCAGAAGGC